CTCACGATATTTAATCTATATAATGCGGTATCGATACTTATCAATATCGAAAAATTTTGAACGGAAATATCCGATAACAAGACCACGCCCACAAAATGGTTACATAACCTTAATAAATAGTTAATTAACTATAGGAGTAACATTTCAAAGATTGCTAGAATGTGTTCTCTTGGAAAGTAGATGAAGTAGCTGAAATATATGAAGCCAAAGAAGGTTTTTAGAATGCTTTTCAATAATAATTGTTCTCAGAAATAGCTTTATTTAGCCATTTTAGTAATATTAAAGTTAATGGGTGTGGCTTAATAACTTATCGATAAAAAATATCGATATCTTCATTTTTAGGCAATATCGTATCATATCGTATCGTTTCAAAATTTTCAATATCGCCCAGCACTAGCCAAAGGCTGCTTTGAGGAAGGGGGCGTGGCAGACGGCTCTGGTAGCTTTACAGCGTCTTTCACTTCACTTGGATCACTTTTTCCGTTCCGTATCCACACCTACCTGTACTTTTAATTGGGAAGAGGGAGTGTCTTGCATACGGAAAGGTTGTTCCGTGATCCAAGTGGGCTGAAATACGCTGTAGCCAGTCTGGCAACATAGATACTACATACACACATGGATATGAAACAGGATGCGCTCGATCCTTGGCGCCGGAAGTGATGCATTGTGACGTTTACACTACACGTGTATAAGCATGGCACAAGCAAAATAGTGAAGAAATCCAGTTGAATTACTTACTATAGCTCAGGTCTACGACTATATAAGAGTTGCAATCGATATTCTAGTTCTAAAAAGTGAAGATCTACTATTACAAGAAAGAATGCACTGTGCTAAGTACTAAAAAAATTATTATTTAAATTATTATCATTATAACTGTTGATGATTATTCTATTCTTCAGTGACCCAATAGATTGATTATTATTATGAGTCCTTCAACAAATTTTAACTATAAAAATAGCAATAAAAACATTGACAACAATTATTATAAGCCGCACTTACTGTATCACCATACAGTACATACTGTAATGTACATCATCTCTATCTTGATAGTTCTCTGTGGTAGCATAAATATAAAGCTTTACAATCATGTAACAATGTCTCATCAATGCCACTGAAATCCTGCTTGTGTTTCTTGGTAAATAACCTATTCTTCCACTACTCAGTTCTCACTAAAAATTAAACCACACCCTTTGAAACACTTGCAAAAAATATATTATTACTTTTGAAACATAGCATCTAGAAAAATGAAACCATAAACAGTCTATATAAGAGGCCTTAATGAATACACTCAAAGTAGTAACTTGTTCATACCTGGTGCAGAAGTCTCAAAAAGGTGGTTACAAAATTAATATTTAAAAAACTAGTTTTTGGCTATTATCTCAGTCATTTCTCATTACATTGACACGAGAATAGTTTCAGTCCATGTAACAAACAATACACTATTATGATTCCAAGACTTACTAGCTAACTCCGTTCGAGAGTCTAGAAAAGGTGGTTACAAATAAAAATGGAGGTCTTCTAATTTTGTCATGTAAACATGAGGCCTGTTGACAAAATGAAATGAGAATATATTTATTAGGTCTACTGAACAAAACAAAAACACCTATATACCTTCTTTCACAAAAATAAGTGAGTCAAGAAAATTCTTGAAAACATAGACAGAGAGAAAAGCGCCAAGGATAGAGCTATGCTGGTTATGACGTTTACAGGTGAACTTCAAAGAGTTAATTGGATACCGACTTCCTGTTTCATATCCATGTGTGTATGTAGTATCTATGCTGGCAATGACCACGGGATGGCTCCGCCTTCCGAGGCGGGAGTGGTCCGAGTTACTGCTGACTAGTGATGGGCGATACTAGTTTTTTCTTTATCGATACAATACTGATTATTATTCATCTTAGTATCGGTAGTATTGATTACATATGTGATTACTTTATTGTAATTTTTATCAATAAACTGAAACTCCAGAAGTAGTGAATAAAAGGTCCTAATCAATCACACCTTATTTTAAAAAAGTATCATATCAACATTTTTGGCTGGACTGAGTAGGTTCTAAGTTCCTAAGGGAACTAGTCTCCAGTTCCATTGTTTACCATGAGTAATTCCAGTCACTTTACAGTTCAGCCTTCAGTCTTCAGGTGTGTTAATTAGTGATGGGCGGTATCGGTTCCAAAGTATCCGGTTCCACGGTTCTGGTGCTTGATTTGCTGGCACCGAATCCTGAAGTAATACCGACCGAAGTTTCGGTTCCGGAAGCCACACCCAACAAGCATTAATTAACTATTATAACTAGTAATAATCACTAATAATCAGCTAATTATTATTCATAAATATTGAGTAATTAATTAAAAATGGCTACGTGTGGCTATTCCATGCTAGATACTACAGGTAATCGGAACCGTACTCGGTACCATCAATACTCTCAGGTGAAGTACTCGGTATC